TTTAGTATCCATTCAGCCTTCTAGTTCTGAAAAGCTAACTAGTAGACAGATCCGACTACTACATTATTTACATATAATTAATTCGTAACAAGGCTAAAACTGTCTATTTATCTTAACACAAAAATAAATGCACGTTTTTTACCTAAAGTGTCTGAAGGCATAATAAGGAAATATTCCACAGTATGTGTTATAAAATAAATATGTATATAAGTTACAGAAAGTCAAAGAAAGTACCTCTCATAGAGGAAAATATTTAGTTTTAAGAAAAAAATTACTAATCTATTAAATAATCAAATAAAAGATTTTGTCGTATTGGTTGCATTACTGATATTTATTGTCGTCGTTTGATCACCATCAAGATTGCAATCTGCAAATCTAAGTACACGCGTAAAAATAAGTAGGTAATACTAGATAGTAAAATTCTATGTGGATTTGTGATTTTGTCGACAAGCGTGTAACTAGCAGTGTCCCTCCCTATCAACCCCAAGTGGCACGGTCGAGCGGGCTAAGTAATCCCGACGCAAGCCTGCCAGACAATCTACTATAAGAAATTCGCAGAATCCGCCACCAAGCACGCCTCGCTGCTCAATCACATGGAACCTCTTTGTTTTAACATTTAACCCTTAAGAACTGTCTTTAGAAGGCATCTTGATTCCAAAGACATAATATATGAGATTTTTACTAAAGAGGATAGTAGCCCATTCCTAGCAATATATTTGGTCAGGTCGATCTCCATTCGGTCCTACTGGAAACCATCGTCATCAGCTACTGAAAAATTTGCTATAATGAGCAAACTGACAAGTCTTCATGCTCATCCTATCATCCCTCACTTCTTCCAACAGTTTGGTTAGCAAGCTGTTTTTTTTTAGTTGTTTCAATCATGTAAAAGAAAAAAACTACAATGACAACTTGACAACAAAATCCTACCTATGAACCTAATGTTTAAGGTTTATGATAACAATATCCCTATAGACCTCTCCGTTATTAAAAAAAAATGCAATGATTGTGGGGAATAATATATATCTCTACCTACTCTTTGACAAAAGAACCTTACTAAATAATAAACTTTAAAATTAAATGCATTACGGTCGAATTTCGGCCACTGGGCGGTCACTATTGATCATCGCTTGAAACTACGAACGAACCAGTGTTTTGATTCGCAAGTTATAATTTTAACATTTCTACGACTAACGATTTCCAAAATACGATGTGCCGCACTTTATAAACATTTTTAAATAGTTGTAGAATTGCTGTTCGTTCTTTGCATCGCAACGGATATTTACTTTGGCACTTATGTTTTCCTAATCCGAAATGTTCAACGGTACTTTATTGTTGATCGTCTGTCTGTGTTTATGTTAAAAGTGGTTAAAGGTACCTAAGCTGTGAATATGCTTCTAATATATAGGGGGTGGGGATAGTTAGTTATGGGACCAGTAGTCTCATTGCTGGTAATGTACTCTATGTCAGAGAGGTCAACCTAATGGAGGTCAGCGTGGTCCGCTTTCAACGTCATTGTGGTATATTCCTGATGAATTTTCTGTGCTAACTGACCTGAGTAATCCCTCATACTAATCGTATTCCGTGATTCTTCTCTGACACTAGCGGTATTTTTATCTTATCATCCTCCTGATGCTTATTAAAATTATTTTTTGAGTAGCAGTACCAGCAGTTCATAGGCGACGGTTGCCATTCTATCCGCAGTATTCAGGAGAGTAATCTCAATATCAATTGCAATCCTATTCTTTTTTGAAGAACTACTGTTTTTGAAACATACTTAATCGAAACTATTTATTTTGAAACAATATGAATTTAATATATTGCTTGTGTATAATTTAAGAGCATAAATTATCTAAATACGCAACCAGTACTGTAGGATCGGAGTTAGTGTCCATAGTAACCCTACAAGTGACTAGTTTGTTCTAATTTATCTTACTAGTATTATAAACGCGAGTTTGTGAGGATGGACGGACGTTTGTTACTCTTTCATGCAAAAATGGATCTTAATGAAACTTTACAGTAACATAGCTTATATATCAGAATAATACTTTTTTTTATAGCAGGGGACAAACGAGCATGCGGCTCACCTGATGGTAAGTGATTACCGCCGCCCATGAGCACCCGCAACACCAGGGGAATTGGAAGTACGTTGTCGGCCTTTTAAAAAGGAATAAGCTCTTTTTTTGAAGGTTTCAATATCGTATCGGTTCGGAAATACCATTGCTGGAAGGTGATTCCACAATGTGGTTGTGCATAGGCTGAATATGTTAAATGTCAAGTAAGTATGATGTAGATGGTATATGATACATAGATAGAGATGCAGAAGCTCTTCCAGACCTATTTCTTCTTATATATAATAATATATGCTAACAATATTTACCATTAAAGAAATGAGCGTCAACATAGTTTGTAATATATATATATATGTATTTATATACATTATTATTTATGTAGGATGCAGCGGTCATGGCGGGAAATAGTTTATACATTTGAAACTGTGCCAAGAAACTTGAAATTATTATTTCAAATTCTTTCATGACATTTGATTATCAAATGTCTGTTTCTCAAGGCTCTTTCTACTTATTCAAACGGATTCACATCTACTACCAACATAGAATAAGATGTACCTACAGTTCCGTAAATTGATATGAAATTAATATTAATAATGACCCGGGGCAATTTATACAGCAAAGCAACGTCAAACTAAGCAGAGCTTGTATTATGTATACCTACTAGAAATCTGATATAAATACTTAAATGCATATTTTTTGTAAATACTGTCTGTACATGCTCTCATGTACAGACAGTATATACCTACGGGATAAAATATATTATCAGGTGACATTATCGCCCTAATTTACCAAAAGACAAAGTTAGAATTTATCTCTGTTTGCAAATCTCGGAACAACTTAACCAATTTGGGTGCGGTATTTACTAATGTAATTGTAATTGGTTTAGGGCTTTAAACAAAAATATATAAACTACTGCTCTACGAATACTACGGTAACTAAGTATGTAGTTGTGTGCTCAGCTAATGTATTGTAAAAAAATGATATATTTTATATTTCAAACTAAGAAAATAGCTCAATAAAAAGACTATAAAACCCTACAGCTAATATAGGTTTACTAAACTTTCCTAACGCATTTATGAATAAGTCGGTTAATTTATTAATGACATAATTTAGTATATAAATTAATTTTCAAATTTCAATTTCATTTTTAATTTTAATTTTCAAATTAATAGATATCTAATAAGAATTTGTACGGATATCTCTTTAGAGGTCTTATTGGCGACGGAGAGTTTATATCGAACTTACAGAACAGATGAATTACAAAAGTAAAAGGATACATAATTCTGGTATAATATCCCCCTTTATTTATCGAAATATAAAACCTAATTATTAAACGGTTGTCGCTTTCTTTCGAACTAGTTTCTTAGTTAGAACGAAAGAGCAACTTTTTTCTTTCAAATAAAACAAGCTTTGTACATTGTGGAATGTTTTTTTAAATAAATATACTACTATTACTTACGATTTTAGAAAAGTAACTATTATTTTATATAATTTATAATTAGTTTTTTTAATTAATAATATAGGATATTTTTATTTAAAAATTAAGTAATAATAGGTACTTCATACATTGATTATTAATTTTTACCATCATAAATTGCAATAATAATGTAATTAAATAGCTACTAGGATATCATAACACAAAGGAAGTGGCAAGTAAACATAAATTAATTATATGGACAACCTCAATTAGTGTATGCACGTGTCCTGCTGTGATCTATGGGGTGATTTTACGGTCTAATAAGTGCTCATTTTATTATCATAGATAAAAAGTACTTTTATATTATATTAGATAATACATTTTACAAAAAGATTTGGTGTCAGTGTAAAAATGAAAGATTCTATATTATTTAACATTTGAAAAGAATGTGGATCTAGTAGAGAGTTTAGTTTGATATATTATGTGATAGATGTACTAGGACAAAAGGAAGACAGTGAAGTATTTTTCTGTTAAATATATAACATTAGTTAAGAAGGTATTTTTAAATCCCAATGCCGTTCACCTTAAAGATTGTTATCATTATTTTCCATTTGCCGGGCTATCAGATCATTTACCGACATTTATTTCAACGAATAAAACCCGGGAGAGGTTCTTATAAGACACTTTAAATGTAGATATTATAAAGGTCTTTAGATACTTTTATTTGAGAAAGAGATATATGTAAGAACAAATAATTATATTAAATGCACTTCTGTGTTGCAAGCGATAGATGTTTGTGATCAAACGAAAATCTATGTTTTAAATCAACTTTATGAAAAAATGTAAAATGTAATATAGATTACATTTATTTTTAATTATTCTAAACTATAAACAATATAAACATAAGACTATCACTTATAGACTACATTCGTTCTTGTAATAGAATTTATTCATATTAAATTTTATGAAGATTCATTCAGCCGTTTAGCCGTGAAAAAGTTACGGACAGATAGACAGACAATCTTTTGAATTATAATATTATTTTAGTATGAATTATCTTTATATTTATAAGGTAAATATAAAAATTACTGTTAAGATTTATATATATAATAATTAATTTATCACTTGGTATAAACTATCGTCTTCATAGAATATCATAGTTTTATAACTAACGGGTCTACCTGTATAACCATTTCGATATTTATCAACACTGAGCATAAAGAAAGCTTTTAAATTTAACTTATCTTAATTTCAAATGAGGTAGATGAACATACAGACAAATATACATATTCTTACTCATGAATTCATATCTTAATGAGATATTTTATATTTATTAAACTATAGATTCATTTTTAATAAATGATAATAAATGTGCAATTAAGTAGAGAAAACTCTAAGAAATTAGTTAAATTAAGTAATAACTTAACAAAGGGAAGAAAACTGTAATGTAAATACATATATAGACTCACAGGTCCGCTATATTTTTATTAAAAGAATGCAATTTTTTTATGTACCTACTCCAAATGCATGCTCTTGTTCAATTAACCAACATGCCATAGTTTAATCCACACCACCACAATGATTTAATTCAACTGTTAATTTTCATTCTTTTACAAGCACCACACTTACCTAAAATTTACTAATAACTTCTTCAAAAGGAAACACAGTAAAAAATAAATGCAAATTTTGTCACAAAACACTTTGAGCACAATATTTTGAAAAGTCACAATCGATCAGAACTTTGAGAAGTTCCATTCATAATCGTCGTAAGTGAGTTCGTTAGAATCCGGTTTTAAAATTTCAAATGTGGAATAATAGCCGCGTAGGGAAATTAAAAAAAAATCGGTAAACAATTGAACGACGAACAAAGCAGCGCTTCGCAGCTATCCGAAGCTGTACTGAAATTCTAAACCCCGACTTTGGTGTCCATGTCGCGCACCCCCCATTACTGAATTTCGTATCATAACCAAAACGCCACAAAGCTGTCATCCAACAATCAATATCAACTTGAAATAGCAATGCAATAAAGTTTAAACTGCAATAACGCGTAATGGCATTTGGGATCTTTTTCAAAATATCTCGCCAGCTACAAGGCTATGAGAACGTATAATTTAAAGACGGAGTTGGGTAACACGTTATGCTAGTATATCTGTCTCGCTTCTATGTATAGAGAAGGCGGCGCAGCTTTTCGCAAAGCGATATCACTATTGCTCATTTTTTGCTATTCTGTATTGAATTACGTAATATTTTGTGAATTAGATTGTACGGTGGTGTCATATTTTCATACCTGGATGTAACAGGACAGATATATTTGTAGGCAGGTAAGTGCATTCATATTTTAGGAGATATAGATACATTTAGTTTCTTGTGTATAAAGGTAGGTAGGTATATTCTACAAATAATTTTTCATACAGATTATTTACATGTAAATTTACGTAAATACTATCATTGTAACCCGTAAAAAGTTACACGTAACATACAAAAACAAAAAGTACAGTTGAATTGGAAAAATAATATATACATATCACATTTGTCACAATATTTTGTTATCCAACTTCTCCGAAACGTCTTAACAGATTTTTGTGAAATTTTGTCGCATGATTAGTGTATAGACAAATTTTTATACCCCTAGGTATTAAGGTTGGATCAAGAAGTAATTTATATAGCAAAACCACAATTGTGGAGTTGGTTAGTTTCTTTATAGAACTTTATCTATATAAGTATTTTAAAATGTATTATTAAAAAGATACTGACAATATAAAACATGTTCTTTTGTATGCTAGAATTTTATATTCAAGAGAAGTTCGATTACTGAAGATTTTCAATACGCATAAAACATGTAGAGCAATTCCTCTTTATAATTCATCTGAACAGACATCCTTCTACTCATAAATTTCATTGTTTTATAAAGTAAAAAGTTTTAAAATAAAAAGTAATTTTTCATGAGATTCGCACGTTTCGAATTGGAAATGTAAAGTTACAAGGATTACTACAAGAATAAAGAGCAACACACGAGTTTCTTAATCGTTCTTCTTTCAGACAGCTTCCCAAATGAGCGGTAGATTAAAACAATGATACCTAACTATGAATATACAAAAGTACTTAAATTAAGTATATTTGAATACATGATTTTCTATTCTATAATTGAATTAATTTGAAATAATATTGAATATTGCTTCCTTTTATATTGGTTCTTCGGACAACTGTATGCGCTTAATAAATCTTTTTGTATATGTACAAAATACATATATGTATATATCCTGTTAAAAAATATATGTTTAAAATATTGTTTAAATCATATTTATTTATACTGCTATTTTATAGAAATCTACCTGCTTCAAAGCATAATATTTCTTTGTAATAACAAACATAGTTTACAAAATAAGCTGCTTGACATAGTACCACCTACAGTGGCAGAAATAAATGAGGCAGAGGTAACCGTTTACCATCAGATAGGCCGTATATTCATTGGCACAATTGTGGTACAAAAAAAAAACCACGCAGACGTGTTGGTACAGACTCTACATCCGTGCTGTAATGAAAAACACCATCCATATTAAAAACACTTCAAATATATATGTTTAATAATTTAATTTACTTAATTTTATGTCTAGGAACTGTGAAACATTCGATGTTTAGGTAACCGCATATTTGTTTGACCTGAAACAATAAATTGTAATCAATATTTTTTATTTAATAATTTTAACACAACACTTTAACACAGTGCCTCATTTCTCATTTTTATTTCGCAGGTTTGACTTTCATATAATTCATCGTATCCGCCGTTTTCTCGATTAATTTTGTTTATTATAAACCTAATTCTAAGTTTTAATAATTGTAATGATGTACAATGGTATTTAAAGAGAGCGAGGGCGAGTTTTCTTGTTCTTCTTGGCTCGAACTACTTTCAAACCACCCCGACCACACATTTACACACACACACGACACCGTCCTCGCCGGCGAAGACGACGACCTCAAATACGGGCTCCATACCGGCGCCCCTGAGCACCCCTCCGATCGATCCCCCGTCCAATTCAAACGGGGATCGAAATTCCGACCCTGAGCCGAGGTTCGAACCCCTAGTGGTGCCCTCAGATTAAAGTCGTATCCGTCAGGCAGGAGCTGGCTTTCAGCCGCTCCATAAGTCCTTCCGCGGGTTTGGAGTGCCATCTACACTCGCCCCCTAACGTCCGGTGAAGCTGTAAAGGCCAGCTGCGGCCAACAGCATTAGAGTAGTCCGAAAAAAAAAGAAACTACTTTCAAAACTGACAGTAGATTTGACTTATCATACATTATGCTTTTACAGCTATATGAATGAAGATATTTTGATATTCGGCAATCAAAATAACCCTGGACAATTATCACACCGCCATCTAGTCCCACAGTAAGTAGAGCTTGTGTTATGTGTACTGGACAACTGATATAACTAAGTTATATATTTCTTTGTAAATACATACATAATATACATAGAAAACACACAGACCGATACAAACAATCATACTCATGAATACAAATGTATCCACCGTGCGAGGAATCGAACTCGCTGCCATCAAAAGTAAAGCAGTATACTAAACCGCTAGACCACTGAGGCCGTCAAATATTATATTTCAATAACATATTTTATATGTGTATTTTAGTAGTAATATATAAAGCTAATTACCACACATATCCCATAATGCACGTGCGCGCCGACTGTCAGTAGAGTAAGACTATACAACAACATAATCTCGACTGATGGTAGACTGAGTGATAGGACCGTGCTGACCAGCAGTGGGTACGTCAGCCAACAGACAGACTCACATCTCTCACTGCTCATAGTTGCCACTATTAAACGACTCTGTGGATGAAAATATATTTGTTAATTTCTTTTTTTTTTAATACTAGCGATGGTTTCACCCTCGTTAAATTTCAATAATAAATATAGCCTATGTTATTCTGATGCATAAGCTATATTACTGGAAATTATCATCAAAATCCGTTTAGTAGTTTTTGCGTGAAAGAGTCATCCATTTTTTGTTTGTGGATTATAATGGAATGGTGCACCCGCCTGCGCTAACGGTTTGCGCTGGCGGGGCACCAGTGGAGAATGATAAGATGTGCATGAGGTCAAGTCAGTTAGCCCATCGTGACAAATTCACCAAGAATTTATCACGATAGTTTCCAGGGGGAACCGTGTGGAGGTCAATTGACATGGTACATTGCTAGTAATGGGTTCATTAGTCCACATTACTAACAATCCCATTATAATATTAGTTAAATGGCAAATAAACTGACATCCCATTGGCGTCCAATATATCCATAATAAATGAATTTATTATGGTTGTGTATCACATTCAGTAAGTCTATACAAAAATAATATTAAAGACAACAATATTCTATCTATATAATATTTAATCTATATCTATAATTAATCTATTCTCAAATTGACCACAGACTTCAAAAATAATAATATTTAAAAAAATACATTTGCGGTGTGCATAATGTATTTTTTTAAATATTATTATTTATTCTTTATTTAAACTATAAGTGTGCGAAATTACATACTCCTCCGTTTGCACTATTTTCGTAAAAAAGAGTACAAAATTTATCATCATGTATTAATATAGATATAGAATTCCAATAGTCTCATTAAAGAAAGTCACAATAAAAGTCAATTTGGTTGTAGACAATATCTTAAATTTTAAACAAATTGATATAATACAATTCCCTATTTTGTTCCACAAGAGACGACGGTTCATTCAATACTCACAGATATATTACTAAATAATGTTCCGTATAATAGAAAGAACGCCCTCGGGTCACGTGTTATGACGTCATGTGGTGAATAGATAGCCCACGTCATTATTATGACGTTCATCATCAACATGGACCATATTGGCTTGAAGGCTTGCACAATGGTTAGTTTCTTAGATTTCTGTGTTTTTCTATGTCTGAAATGAAGTAGATTATTATTTACAACAGACTGAATATTTATTTAATAAAAAAATAAAAACAATACATAAAGGCACATTACTAGAGAACTGCCAGAGATTAAGTAAAAGAAAAAAATATCTTTGCAAACAGTAGTACAGTACTAGTAAAGATCATTTAGAAAATTTAAGAAATATAAATGAATAAATATGAATAGAATATAATTTACTAGCTGCTTTCCGTTTTTACAAACTTTCATTTCCTATTTTTCATCCCCTCCCAGGATATTATTAAAAAAAAACGTCATCTATATCCGTCATCATAATACAGTCTATTTTCATGCCAAATCATCAAAGTAATTAAGATGGATTCAACCGTTTTGGTCGTAAAACTGTGATAGCCAGACAGATGCTATTTCATATTTATAATATACAAAACAAAACCGCATTATCACAACTATTATCACAGAGTCAGACAGATCAGTCAGAGACATCGGATCGGAGAGTCAGTCAGAAATACGAGTATAAATTAACATACAAAGTTTATATATTTGTGTCAGACAGATTTGAACTCCTGACAGGGTGTAATTCAGGGTAGCAAACCACTAAGCCACAACGCCAGTAAATCATAATATTATACAAATACATATATAGGCTACCTCAGTAAAGAAAAAAATAACAAAACTGATGACTTAAGTTCTACTTTCTAGAAATACGTACAAATAAACGTTGTAAACAGCGACTGGTAGAGTTGTGAAGAGGCCGGTAGCGTGAATGAGGACCTCCAGCACTTGGACGAAAGTGATATCTCCATACACGTAGAATTTGTACACGCCAGCACCAAGCCAGTAGGGCACTAGAAAAATGATGGTTGCTACCTGGAAATAAAGCTCTTTTTAATTTGGTTTACCAGAGCAGTAATCGATCCTGATATTAAGTAATAATCTCTATTCATTTAACCGGGGCTTAATTTATCAGTCTTCTGCGTAAGTACCTATATCGTAACTATTTCATCCGTCCGCATATTTTATTAGTTGTATTTCTCTTGTCTTCTGATTTCCTAGTCCTTCAGAATGGCATCACATGGAAGCTATCACACATGATAACGTGATGTCCTTACTTTCATGTATACGGTGACGGTTACCACTTATCATCAGAATTGCCAATAGTCATCATTATCAAAAATACTTATTCCGATAGGAATATTTTCAAAAAAATAACATGTTTTATTTAATTCGATATCCTTAAGTGGAAAATTTGGACGATTGTAGGATAAGTTATTTTATATTTAAAATATATATTATATATCTATACTATAACTGTGAAAAAAACTCTACTATTTTAATAATAAGATTTCTTTTCCTCTCGTCGATGTTTTAATTTATTATGTACTATTTTAGTTAAACTTTATATATGTACTTACCCACATACTCAGGTCGTACCCCCAGGGTAGGTACAGGGTGCCCGTACTGTACTTTTCACAGTGACTCGTGTAGAAGTTTAGTGTGATGCTCACACATAACAAGAAACCTCTGAAAGGAGTTATTATTTAATATTGTTATGATAACGATGAATTTGTACAAAACTGTAACTGAGCTGAACTCTTGCTCATCTTATCAGTACCTGTACCATTAGCGCAGGCGGGTGCACTATTCCATTATCAACAATTAATAATCATAACAAATATTTACAAGTGCGGCCTATAGTTTGGGTATACGCAGAGGGCATACAACGCTCTTCGTGTACAGTATAATAATGGGTTTAGGATGTTGTTGGAGCTCCCTCGGTTCTGTAGCGCATCAGAGATGTTTGCAGCAGCGCGGGTAGATGGATTTCAAGCCACAATGCGTAAAAGAGCTGCATCACTGATGTCTAGAATTCGGGGGAGGACAAACAGCATCCTAGCAACTGTTGCGAGTATGCCTGATTATCCGCTCCAGAGGCACTGGATATCGTTGCATTGCGGACCCAGTGCTTCTGGAGGTGGACACAGATACATGAATTAAATATATCTCCGTATCTGTATATTATAAGTTACTAACATAGTTTTATAAGTTTTTACTAACACAATATGGATGTAATCCGGATTAAATAAATAATAATAATAATAAATATAATAAGTAGAATTAATAAGTATAATAAGTAATTTAAAAAAAAACATAGTAATACAGATACAGGATAATAATAAGAAGAAATAGGTCAAAAGGATGTCGCAAGAAAGCGACAGATATTACTTTAAATAAAATACAACCAAAACACAGGACATTTACCTACAGCATTATCTAGTCCCTAGTTAAGCAGAAATTTTAGGTTTTGGTACTACACAACTAATAGATATATTTAAATCTTTTAGTTGTGTAGTACTTTAATATTTTTTCTTGTAAATACATACATAATATACTTAGAAACTACCACGACCAGTAACAACAATCATACTCTTGAATACAATTGTTTATACCGTGCGAGGAATTGAACCTGCGACCATCTGAGGTAAGGGCTGTATTAAATAGCTAGACCACAGAGCCTTCGTTAATAAAAAATACATCATGTCCTAATGTCCAATTTTATTTAAATCCCTCCGACCTTGTAATTGTTGCAAATAGGTAGATATACTTTCAGACCTACTTTCATATTAGTGTGGAAAACCCCTCCGATCGATCCCCCGTCCAGTTCAAACGGGGATTAATATTACGTCGCCCTGACCGAGGTTCGAACCCCTAGCGGTACCCTCAGACTAAAGTCGTATCTGTCAGGCGGGAGTTGGCCTTCAGCCGCTCCATAAGTCCTTCCGTGGGTTTGGAGTGCCATCTGCACTCGCCCCCTATCGTCTTGTGAAGCTGTAAAGGCCAGCTGCGGCCAACAGCATTAGAGTAGTTAAAAAAAAAGTGTGGAAAAATCTGCTTCTTTAAAATATATATAAACATAACTAGTATGTCATATCGTACACTTTGGTTATCAGCGTCCTAACTAAAATTTCCTATTATTTGGGGTCGGCACTTGTTTTACATTCTTATCTTGGCCTGTCGCCTCGCTCATCTTAAGTGTTATGAATATTCAAACACTATATGTATGTTAAAACAATATTAACTATTGTATTTGTTTACTAGTACACACGATAAGTAATAAGTAATGGAATTTTCAATACATTATATCTTGTAAATATTGTAAACACGAAACTTTGTGAGTATGGATGGATGTTTGTTACTCTTTCACGCAGAAACTACTCAACGGATTTTGATGAAACTTTACGGTAATATAGCTTATACATCAGAATAACATATAGGTTATAAATTTCACGCGAGTAAAACCGCGGGCACAGCTAGCATGGCGTATATAGATACCTAAATGTGATGTTTTTTAATAGATTATAATGGAATGGTGCACTCGCTAGTGCCATTGGTCTACGCAGGCGGGGCTTCAGTGAAGGAGAATAAGATGAGCATGAAATAATGTTATTTTGCCAATCTCGGCAAATTTCAATATACCAGGATGGATTCCAGAGAAACCGCATGGAACTCAACATGACATGACTGACAATCAACCACCTTCCTCGAAATGCGGAGTTAAAAAACTGATGTTAAACAATCTAGTTGAGTTGCTAGTTCTTCTTAATGGATGTAAGAGGAGAGGAGAGATAGGAGTGGAGGTAGGAGGAGATATAGGTGTAAAAAGGAGAGAGGAGAGATGAAAATACATTTATTATTTATGTACTTAAGTGACAAAAAATGTTTTATATATTTTGACTTTGACTTGCAATGAAAGTAACGCAACTGTAGCGTTAACTTTGCGCATTATTTTTCATTGCAAATTCAACAAACAAAAGTCTATTTATAATTTTTACAGATACATTTTTTATTTTTCATATATATGTCACTGTTAAATCCATTTGTATTATTAAGTAAAAAACAACATTATGCGGATATTCGCCCAGCTATAAGTGCAAACAGTTACCTATATAACGGGTAATCTAACGGTTTAGCACACCGCATTCCTTCCGATAGTCGCAGGTTCGATTCCTCGCTCGGCACAATCATGTGTAATCATGATTATATTTGTTTATTAGTATACTAATGATACTAGTACCCATAACACAGGCTTTAGTTAATTTAACTTGGGACTAGATGACGCTGTGTGAATTGTCCTAAGATTATTATTATTTTACAAAGTAAGTTGTTGTGCGGCTGAAATTTGTGTTTACGTTACCTACGCAGTCAACTTTTTACAGCCTACCTTCAGATTTACCTGATGGTAGGTAGGGAGAAGATGTGGTCTCTACCAAATAAAGACACGAGACAGTAGGGTATCAAGAACACTATGTAGGAATCCAACCCGTGGTCGAACATCTCACCCAGGGGGCCTGACACGCCGATGCGGCGCGCCTGCTTGCCATCGATACCGTCTGCAAATTCATATAATATCAGAATATATTTAGTGTATTTTATTTTTTTGTTATTTTTTATGCTACATGGTAAACATGCATAGATGGATGTACCATCTGATGGTAAATGGTTATCGTAGCCTGAGACACCGGGGTTCTCACGTGCGCGTTGCCAACCCTTAAGAAACCTTAATATACCCTTCTTGAAAAACCCCATGCTGTAGTCTCGTGAGAAAACCTCGGCAGGAAGTTCATTCTACAATGTAAGTGTATTTTATATCACTAGTAATTGATTACCCTGTGTGTGTGTGTGTGTGTAACAATATATTGCCTCTATGTTATACATTGCTCTGTAACAGATTCTGTCACCGAATTGCTTTGCTTACGCTTGATATTGTAACCATAATCATTTAGTTAAACTTTGTAATATTGGACTATTTGTTAAATTATAAAATACAGTTAAACTGGAGTGACTTAAACCTCCAAACCTCATCCTCCTTCGTGGGCTGTATCACCTGAATTTGTCTACATTCAGTTTGTATAGGTACTATAATGTAAAGCGTGCTAATTGTTACCCGTGACTTTATCTGCGTTTTTTGAGATAAAAGATAGATAGATATGTCCGTCCTCGTGCTACAATCTGCATGCATTAATATAATACACTCAAGTTAAATTTAATTAATTTAATAACATTTTTATAGTTATAGCAAACAAGATGACAGCCTGATAGTAAATGATGACAGTTAACTACACACATGAACACGTGAACCATCAACTAATTAGCTATTTTAACAGTACTATATATAACTTACAGCAACAATTTTTAAAACCAGTTTCACAAAATTAACTTGTAATGTTTTCCGTTTTCCAGTAGATCAACCCAAATTTCTTCTCATACCAATAAAACTTACACGGAATTTCAAATTCAACACATAATTATTGCATTAAATTCAATACATACCCAAATTATAAGCTAGGAATATCAAAAGGCTACAGACAGGATAAATCCAGTGTGGCAAGCCATTTTCACCATTACTTATTATCCTGAGGTCGGACCCGCCTGATGCGTGAAATTTGTAGTCGTATATTGACAGTATGATTACATTTATGACCATACATACAAAACCTGCAAATGTTAGTAAGTTTGGTGCTATCCATTTTGGTATAAGCTGGAACAAAAAAAAGTGCGTTTTAAAACATGTGAAATTACGAATATAAACTTCATTTTTTATTATTTGTATAGATTAAATATATTCAAATAATAATGGATTAAATAAATAAGTACTTTACTTTCTGGATTGATTTTACTATTTGCTTACCTTGACAGAAAAATTCCAAAACGGATGCATCACATAATTGCTGAGTGGACTCGTGTCTATGGCACTGTACTGAAAATAATTTGCACAATAATAGGTATTATTGCTCTGCATGGGGTCATTAAAAGAGTATATTTCAAGTCAAAGGTTTGCCAGCCAATACTTATATATTGTTAGTGCCCGCAGTAGCACCATTTCATTATCATCCATAAAAAAAAAATACCGTCGTCTATATACATGAACAGCACTACTGACATCGTGTGACCCCATTGACATCACTCATAGGATACATTTCGAAGGACTAAGGTGTTATGCCTTCGGAGGCATAACACCTTAGTCCTTCGAAATGTGTAATTTCACTGCCTATCTCACCTTTCAACCAAAATACTGTTAAAATAAACTGCTTGGGGGCAGAAATACTTCCCTACTTCTTATAGTAGAGATTTATATAAAACCTTTTTTTATACTACAGTAATTGCAAACAAGCATACGACATGTTAAATGGGTAGTCTATGGACGCCTAAAACTACTATTAGATCAAACAGATTCATTATCTTCGTTCTACTCTGTTGTCCGCAGATTACTGTAATGCTGTTGACCGCAACTGGCCTTTACAGCTTCACCAGACGATAGAGGGAGAGTGCATCCCGCGAAAAGAGTTATGGAGCGACTGAAAGCCAACTCCTGCCTAACGGATACGACTTTAATCTGAGGGCACCACTAGGGGTTCGAATCTCGGCTCAGGCCATCGTAACTTCAATCCCCTTTCTAATTGGACGGGGGATCGATCAGAGGGGTCAGATTAATATAAATTACTTACCTTATATTTGTCCAATCCCTTTAAATGTTTTTGACTCAAATATTTATAATTAAACATTTTTATTTTTACCTATACGGGCACTGTATATTACTAAAAATCATTAGGACACGACCTTAGGGCACGATGTAGTCGAACACAAAACTATTGAAATTAGAATACAGAAATATTGAATATGAATAACATTCCATATAACATTGTCATGTTAGTTTAAACCTTACACTTAGCGCATACGGTTGTTATTAAATTAAATGTACAATACACAAAAACTGAACTTTGTTTTTCTAAATATCTGTATGTATTTTTAATGTTATTGTTTTCACACACGATCGTCTGCGTCAAACGTTACTTGTGGTTTTAGTAGTAAAATGCTCATCGATTGTAACTACAAGATAAAAGTAATGTAAGGTAGAGTAAAACCAGTTACACACGACATTTTGGACGGTCCGATGGAATACACTCATAAGTTACAGATTATGGAAAATCAACGTTAATGTTAAATGCTTAAAAGTCGATTTTACAAACTTTATAATTATGGAGGTAAGCCAGTATAGTATAGTATAGTATTTTGATCACTAATTTACTGATTTAATTGTAATTATATTTATTGTACCTTAGTTTAATTAAAATACTCACTCACAAAGTAATCTTTAATATAAGTTTTAATTATTCATGTAATTTTTTGACATATTAAATAGAAAAATCTTATCTATGATAGTTACATGTATAGTATATATGTATAGATGCTTAGAATCTTTACAGTTACTTTTTATTTAGTTTTTTTTATTACTCATAAAATTAATATTACAGTACCAGTTAAAATTATGAATTTTGTCGGTGTGTCTGACGGAATGAGATTCTATATTTGTATGTGTGCCTTTAACCTAAATAAAATTTTTATCTATCTATATTTAAAACACAAAACTGTATTTATTCACTATTGTATATTTACATTTCGTTTACAGGAATTGAAATCCAGTTGTGGTGTTGGGTGTTGGAACGTCTTCTTGTCACGGGACGTGGGAAGTGGAGTCTCCGGACCGGATAGAGCGAATCATTAGAGGCATGGTACCACGCTCCAGTATTCAAAGTTCTAATCCATCTACTCCCTTTCCTCCTCCTTCTGTACTCGTACTTTTTTATATTTCTCTACTATTATACTAAATTTTATATTTCTTACTCTCTCTCCACTTCTTTTCGCCTATCCGTAATGTGACAGAGAAGTAAATGGAGAGATATAGAAGATATTTCTTTTACTATTCCAAAATATGTAGCCTTCATTTTGTAATATCTTTAATTATATTTAAACGGTAGCGCATGCGTCCACTCAGCTTTAAATTACTTCTGTTTCGTATGATAAGCTTATCTCTCCTGATATCACATGGCCCGGTGCCAAGACCCGGGGCCACGCATTTTTAATTCTCTCGATAATTTCATTTATCGATTTATTGCTGTCTGCATCCGGCAGGCGCGTAAAGGTAAAAATGTTTAAATAATTGACCATGAATTGTTTTGAATACCACTTATCAAGTTATTTAATTGATAATATTTTTTACAATCAAAGAAATTCTTTACATAAGTTTATTTATTAATAAAATAATAGTAATTACTTTTAAATAATATTCTTTGACGCCTATAAGTGTTGTATTTTTAACAGATAAATATAGGTTTAATATAATTTTACAATAATACAACGATATGCAGTTGTTAAACAAACTTTTAAAATTAAAATTATTACATGTATTAAAGATCTAATAACATTTATTTAGGTAGATTTTGTAAAGAATCATCAGCATCATATAGTTCAGCCGCCAAACAGCTGTGTTTCGTTTGTAGGTAGAATAGAGTAGAGATAAGGTAGCAAAATTACAAGATAAGAAGCATAACTTCTTAGTCCTTCGTATTGACAATGCATGAGTGGTATCACGAACATCACATGATAACGTGATATCCGTTGGGGAAGGGAATTTTTAGTAATGTGGTCCGATCACCCCTTGGCTACCAATGTACCATGTCAGGTTGAGCTCCACGTGGTTCCCTGGAAACCATCGTGGTAAATTCACCAGAAAATTATCACAAATTGGGCCAACTGACTTGACCGCATGCTCATCCTATCATTCTCCACTTGTGTCCCGCCATCGTAAACTGTTAGCGCAAGCGGGTGACTCTACCATTATCATCCATTAAAAAAAATGTATATAATTATTACTATTTATCATCAAGCAGTACATACACTTGTTTACCATTCCAGTAGGATATAAAATTTAGACGTAGTTCTGTAATTTTGCACATTGTATGCAACACAAATTAACTCGTACACTAATTGTGTCAAGCGATGCAAGTGTCAGTATGATGTATGGCTAATGTGACCATTTATTTGTCTTATAAAAGTGAGACGCCTAAAGAACTAAAATATGAGAATAGGCTGACTAGTAAAGGACCAAGCCACAAGTCTTATAGCTGCGTGGATATTCTCATAAACTAGAGTTTATTCTCTCTCTGATATTCTCATGAACTAGAGTTTCTTATTCTCATGAATTAGAGTGATTTCGTTTCCTAAAAGTCAATTTTGAATCTTAAAATATTGTATTAAATTATTTTGGAAAATTTATTGCATGAATATTTTCATAAAACTGCAATATAGTAATACAGTTTCCTGAAAAAACAATTTTGAAGTTCGAAATATAGTAATAATAATTTATCATACATATATTACTTTTCAGGTTGTACACCCTTTAACAGTGTATTTTTCATTGTATATTTTTTCACATGAAGCTTGTTTTACTTACACAAATAGGTCTTGGCTGTATTTGATCCTAAGGTCGACTCCACGCGGTATCCAGTAAAAACCATCGTTGTTAAATCCTAGTGATTTTGCTATCTACCTGGCTTGACCTCTTGCTTATCTTATCAATACCTAATCATCCTACACTAATGTGTGAAAAGAAAAACACTTTTTCTTTAGTTAAGGATAATGGTACCTATAATATGTCTGTAAGCGGTACTGTCCCACCCAAAGCGTAACGTATGGTCACATTTTGTATGGCCTATAAAAATAGATTTATCCTCATTGGCTAACTCGACGAGGCACAGTTACATGTAATCGATCACACACTGGCACAGTGGCAATAGTAGCTGGAATTAATATTGTTATTGTAAATTTTAAGAATATCTAGAATGGACCATATACTGACGACGCATCTGATGGTAAATGACAAACGTCTATATGTAATAATAATATGCCCAAGACAATTTACACAGCGCCCTCTAGTTCAAAGCTAAGCAGAGCGTGTTTTGGGAACAATACAGCTGATATTTAAATAAATATCTTTTGTAAATTTAAACATAGTAAACATGCGGACCTTAGAAAATTACCTTGTGTTCCCGGAGAAATACAACCCCGGATTCTTCAAGTCTATGGTGAATAGATATCTTCTGGGTAAGCGCGCTACATCCTGGGTCTTGCCATCATTTACCATCAGATGAGGTGTCTTACCTCATCTGATGGTAAAGCGCAATCCCATTATTAATAAAAAAAAACGGTTAATTGAACGCGGCTAAGTGTTTTTGCTATGATAGGCTAACTGACCTTACCTAACCCTCATCTTATCATCATCCACTGGTGCCCCGCCGGCGTATACCGTTAGCGCAGGCGGGTGCTACATTACCGATGTACTATTGTCATTGTATAACATTTATTTGAAAAGAATATGAGCTGAGTTTCAGTCCATTCTTTTTATCTCGAAATCATTCCGAACTGATGGTAGATTTGACATATCATAAGCGTCTGTAAAAGACCTACCTAAAGACATTTTTAATTTTAACTTTCATCTACAAATGCAGTCAGTTCCTCGGTGAATGTGATTACACAATTTTCTTAAAAATGTAGACAAATCATATTAAAAAATTGCGATATGATCTATGCTTTTATTATATTACAACATTATCGTAGTAATCTACCACTACAAGCTTGTAATATTCTCTTATCAGTGGTACAAGCAAGCATATCATGGAGATAATATTATCGTTTTGCAAAGTATCTGTGTATACATTTATTTATTGTTTATGTGCATGTTTTTGAGATAATTTAAAATGGAATCATCTATCTACAGTTATTTAATAGAATTAATTAATGTAAAACATTATATAATACTAGCTTATCCTTGCAACTTACGTCTGCATTGCACTTACTTGACATTTATCATTATATCTCGCCCTATATACGTAATCTCTTTTTAATTTATAGCCAATGTGTTATTATGATGTATAAGCTATATCACTATAAAGTTTTATTAAAAACCGTGCAATAGTTTTTGCGTGAAAGAGTAACAAGCATCCATCCATAATCACAAACATTACCATCCTGATCATCTGGATGAATGGCGGTCTTCCACAGTGCGGTTTTCTAGAAACTTTTTGCCTCGCACAACCACATTATGGAATCACCTTCCAGCAATGGTATTTCCGAACCGATACGATTTTGAAACCTTCAAGAAAAGAGCTTATTCCTTTTTAAAAGGCCGACAACGTATTTGCAATTCCCCTGGTGTTGTGGGTGCTCATGGGCGGCGGTAATCACTTACCATCAGGTGAGCCGCATGCTCGTTTGTCCCCTGTGTTATAAAAAAAAAAATTGCGTTTATAATATTAGTATGACTATATATTTTACTCGCGGCTTCACTCGCGTTAATTTATCCCCTTAGGGGTGGAATTTATCAAAATCTTTTCTTAGGAGATGCCTACGTCTTATTAGCTTTATGCATGCAAAATCTCAGCCCGATTGGTTTAAAATTGACAAAGTTTCATAAAAACTTTCATCCCCTATTTTATCCCCTTAGGGGTAGAATTAATCAAAATCCTTTCTTGGCGGATGCCTACGTCATAACATCTATCTGCATACGGATCGGACGGATCCGGCTGAAATTTGTTCAGCCGGATCCGTCCAGTGGTTTGGCTGTGCGTTGATAGATCACTATGTCAGTCAGTCACCTTTGAGTTATACATATTTAGATGTGTGTAAATTATTGCTCGTATTTTTTATGTAATTATTGTTGTGCTAGACATAATACAACGAGTCGATAAATTATATCTTCACGACTTGTATATCAGATGAGGTAGTCAGAAAGATCATTAACTGTCGACGTAGTGGTGTTGCTCATTTGAATCGAATTTAAACGAATCGTGTCGTCAGCGTGGTAGGCTACAAACCTACAAGCATTATGGATTCATTTAGTTTGTTGTCGGTGATACCATCACCGGAAAATTAGTCAAAAATATAAATTGACACAAACGTTTTTGATTTCAATAAAAAAATCTGAATAAAGAAGAGATAATACGATGTTATGCGAGTCCCTGGGGCGAGATTGGTCGGGATTTCATTTAAGCTAAACTACGGGTAAAACCGGGTAGCACAACTTGTGTTTATATAAAAATAACTTCTTTGTAATAACTTCTCTGCCTAACTTTTAATGATTATATTCATTAGTACTTCCAAACAGCAAGAATAAAGCGCCATTGGCAGGAAACTTCGTTAATTATTCCTAAAACGACATCCATAGAAATTACTGGTAATTTGGTCCGAAATAGGCACCGCACGCGCCCGCGACTCGCAACAGACATTATCGGAGCGGTTCGAATTTCAAATTACGCGCCGGTGTCGGATGGCGCCCTCCGGAGCGTCGCCTGGCAACGCACAGGTGTCGTATCGATCAGTCGAATTTCTTCGATGTTTTGCTCTCCTGGTAGGTATTTTTGAATAAAATAATACTAGCAGGCTCCCTCATCTTTGCACGAGTAAGCCATTCATTGTTTTGTGTAGAATTTAGAATCTGATCTACTTAAGCGCTAAATTAGACCAGTATAGCTATAGTAATTATTACTAAACTCGAGTATAAATGTGAAATTATAACTCTCACCTCTTCATAACTAAATGCCTAATACGATCTTTTTTTCCTTCTTCTGGCTCCGGCGATTTGTTTAGCCAGTAGCTATAATACGATCTTTTTGAAATTTCAAATAAATTTAATCATAGAGAGTTTCTAGAGGATAACCTCGAAATCATAGTAAAAATCGTATCAAAGTCTGTTGCTTTGTTCAGAAAAAGTAAGTGGAGAAACAGACAGATAATTAGTTTACTTGTTTATTTTAACAAATTAACAAGCATTTAATTCCACTACTTTCTGAAATTGTAAATCGCAATCGACGTGACATTGATAAATTATGTATTAAAAAATCTACGACAAAGCTTATGCATGACAGTACATGGTAGACCCTATGGTCCAAGGGCTGTACTATACGAGCGGAGAACATATCTTGTGGTTTTAGCTGGATTTTGGCAGTAACTGTTTGTACCTTCCGGTCGATCTCCCGTCCAATTCAAACGGGCCGAGGTTCGAACACCTAGCGGTACCCACAGACTAAAGTCGTATCCATCAGGCGGGAGTCGGCCTTCAGCCTTTCCATAAGTCCTTCTTCGGGTTTGAAGTTCCATCTGTACTCGCCCCATATCGTCCAGTGAAGCTATAAAGGCCAGCTGCGGCCAAAAGCATTCAAACAGTTCGAAAAAAATACTTATTTGCCTCTCCCGGGCCGTACGGATCTCGATGACGGATTTTCCGCAAGTAAAATAAAAGCATTCTAATGGTAAAAGATTTTTTTTTAATTAGTCCAGTAGTTTCGCCTATTCATTGTAAACAAACATTAAAATCTTTCCTTTTTACAATATTAGTGTATACACGGATATTTTTATACGTTTCTACTTACTGTGAACGCATCTAGAGTACGTGAAGAAAGCTGCGTGTAGACGGGACACGTCCATAACAATATTTACCTCGGTTAAACAATAGTCATTATTAAATCAGGAACGGCCAATTTTCTCATACATTTATTATGTAGACAGACGGATGCTCGTTGCTGGCAAAATTCTAAAGTGCCCAACATTAGTTTAAATTATAACAGCAGAGGCCGTTTCCATTTGCATCGCACGTGACTGTCTGTCGCAGCGTCTAGTCGTCCTATCAAACTGTGGACGGAGCGATTAATTTGACTAATATGCATTCTCAAGTCATAGGATATAGCGGAATGTGCTGGTTTATATTCAGCGTGTAATCTATGTTAATTTATTATTACTAGTTGTCGCCAAGTAGTCGAAATTTCAACCATAATTATAACTTTGAACCTAATTAAGGTTGTGTTGTCAAAGACTTGTTTCACTTAATTAATATTGTCATTTCATAACAGCCCAGAAACAAACCTCAATTAGCTAATTTGACAACTAACAATATATACATTATTTAAGTTTTTGATTGACATTTTGTTATCAGTACATAATAAAAACATTGCACTTTATAAAAATTATTGATTTAATGTATTTTTATGCATAATTAAAATAAAATATTAGCAATCTTTACTCCTTCGATATATAAACAAGTGTGCGAAATGTCATACTCCACCGTCCGCGAAATTTTCGAAAAAGCGATACAAATGTTGATGCACTAGCAACAGTTGATAGATAAAAACCGTCTAAAGATTTAAGTCCACAATGTATTACAGTTTTCTGTTTTCTATTGATGAGATGTAAAGCAGGTATAATGAAAATTATTACAAAAATGTTAAAAAGAGCTGGCAAATATGCTGTACTGAAAAAAAATTGTCATACAGATTCATACAAAAATACCCTCATCGTTGTAATTTTAAATAAAAAACATTTCTTTACATTTCTCTTAACTTGGGCCACCTTCTAGCTTATTAGCACGTCGTGCCGGATGGTCTCAGTCTCACACCTATTTACATTTCCTCTTGTATTCGTCTGCGATCCTGGTTACCTTTCAGACACTAAGTGGTGGAAATTTATA